GCTGCAGACTTCACACCACAAGTGACGACGGCCTCCACAAAATGTAATGTTTTCTGCCAATGAAATGATTAGCCTGTTGCAGTTGTATTCTATCATTGTCACTAATTACAACTATCATTTACCAAAATCAGCTATCACTATGAACCACTAATTACAATAACTTGGAGGCCGTCTACAATAATTTGGGGCCGTCGTCAGTTGTGTTGTTGAGTCCGTACTGCAGAAGACCCTGGCCACTGGAGACAAAGTGTATATAACCGCACAGAAGCGGTCGAAAATATCCATCAAAATGATTTTAAGCGCACCGTCTTTTTTCGCTAAATCCCAGGGAACAAATGAAGTCTTTCACCAAGTTTTACTCTGAATCTTAATGATACACGAATTCAAGAAATTAAAGGACAAAGTATGAAGCGGATTGTTGACTTCATAGAAGGGAATGCACGAAAAACCGGTTCGGCTGATACTTTTGACCGTAGTCATAGACTGACTGATAGGGGATTTCAACTGATTTGAAAGGTGCCCTGAAAGGCTATGGAGGGAAAAAATGACCAAACGATGGGACAAAAGCTCGCCCAGTTCTGTACATACTTTCTGACTGCCAAACATCGTCTGCGAGCTAGAAGTTTGGGGATACGTTTTCCTTTGGACACTTCATTCTGGATGGGACTTTGGGTCATTTTCTACTCTAAAAATTCTTCGCTGTCATTATCTGGGATCAGGAGGAAGCTAAGCCGTCTGCAGGTGTAATTTTAGAGGATTCTGTCAGAGAAAAGGAACTTCATGGTAAAATGATTTGATTATAAGAGGCTTGAATCAACCTACCAGTAACTGCCCACTCTGCCTCTCCCCAATACACTCATCACTTGCCCAGATTCGTTGGACCAGTCCGGCTAAAGTGCATCCAAGCTTTGTTCCGGAGGCACATTCGAAGCCGTTCGGCCAGTTTGAAGCGTGGTTATAACATCTTGCTTTCATCTACCTGCGAAACCATCACGTGAATAATTGTTCAAGATGCGTTCGTAGTTAGGAGCAGGGTCAACCATCCGGGCTTCCGTATTGCGAGGATTTCCACCTCACTCCCTGCGTACTGATGGTGGTGAGGCCTCATCGGACCCTCACCATCATTATCCTTGGGGGCGTCCTCCCAAATGATTCCTTACGACCCCACCCCTCCGAAAATCCAATAGGACCCCTTCATGGAGATCCGCGCAACGCTTTGTTGACCTTGCTCGCTTGACTTGACGAAAGAAAAGGATTGAATCGTTTTTCATCGATGAAGCTCACGTCGGGATCGGATTCGTCGAGGAAATTGGCGAGCATTTCGAGGGCTTCCATGATCGTCATCGTGGCATGATCGAACGATAGCCATTTTGCGATGCTGAAAGGAACCGATTTTGAGAATATAAAGTTCTCTTCTGTCTTAAGTAACCCACCCACCATCTCATTGACGAGAATCCACAGTTTGAAGCGAATGTTGATTGTATGTACTGATTTCTGACTCCGTTCCTCGATTCTATTAGATCGATTCTCTTCATAGTTTCGATACGTCTTGCCTTCTTCCGTGAAACACCGTTGGGACTTTTAACGTCATTCTAAACACGAGGCATTAAGAAATAAGTGGGATGAGAGCGGAATGAAATGAAAGCGGAAGAAGACACGCAACAACATCAGACGTGACCGAACAGGGTCATTGATCTTCGTTCCAACCGTAGTTATATGACCTGACCCGGCCATTAATGGCAGTCGTAAGATTGAAATTGTTCAATTACGCAATACTGTTGAAGGTCGCAACATATCACGTTTGTCCAGAAAAACGTGAAAAACGCTAGTTGACATTTGAGAATCCATTAGAGGCAAAGCTCACATCCAAACTTCTGTATCAAGAGAAAATTATCAGGAAAGTTTTCGGGTTTGTTCAATTCGCTTTTGAGCTGCGCCAAGCATTTTATATTCATCAGGAATCGCAGTGGCATTTGATTGAAATTTTTCTTATGCAATGACTCACGGGTTAGCCGATGCAAAACTAAAGGGAAGAGAGCTCAGTTAGCATTTCCAGGAGAGTTTATTTGACTCTAGAACCATTCGCGTAGTGAGTGGTGTCTTTTGCCACTGCACGGAATCAAAGTTTTTTTTAAATCCGTAAATTTTGAGAATGAGGCGATTTGACTGGGATTGAGACGAAAGGAAACTGCATCTCATCAAGAATTCTGCAATGAATGATAAGGAGCCTTTTTCGGTACCACAAAACGTGGTCAGCACATGGGAAGAACCACGAGGGAGCCTAAATTCTCAGAATTGGGGATATTGAGGTGAGCTTGTGGCTGAACGCAACGGCAGGGCCAAGAACAAGGATGACCGGTCAGTAATGCAGACTGCCCGTTAAGCTGAAGGCGCAGGAACGGTAGCTGCAATGTGTTGGCAATGCAGGGGCATGTACTGAGAAGGCCACATGATCACGTCACCATAAGGTGAATCACTACAATTTGAAGTCAAGGGCAAGTGACCACGAGGAACCATAAAGAAGAGAGGACGTCAAGGCCTTGGCAGAAAATGCCTACACAGTACAAAATGGCAACGTCCAACAAGAACAGCGAACCGTGCGACGACGCAGGATTACCCTTGGTAAAAATAAATTACAAAAGCTGATCAAATCAACCGATGAGAGCGGGATAGTTCTTCTTAGCTGCCGAGGGGACAGTCTTACTGTTGAAAGCTTACCTTGCTGAAAAATTATTATCAAAGGGTCCATATTCGTGGAAACCTATTTTGAAAATGCTGCGAAGACCTAGTGAGATTTTGATCGTTGGACTGTCGGGATTCTGATGCTATTCTTCCGCCAACGAGGTTGTTAGGTGGAGACTTTTATTAGTGGCCTGACGTTTCGACGAGATCGTCTTCCTCAAAGGCCCAGTCCACCACCGCAAGAGCAGAACAGCGCCACTCCAGGTCAGTTATGGTTAGTAACTAAATTCGGGATTCTGTACATTCTAATTCTAGTATCCAATAAAAACCTAGAGACATTTCCGGAGGGGAAAAAGTAATGCTCGAGAGACCCTTTTTAGTTCTGATGCACCTACGAGATTGAAATAAACCCTAGCGAAGGTCTCATGTTCAGTAGCAATCGACTTTCGGGCCTGGGAAGTTGCCAACATACTTGTGGAAACAATCATGAATGGCTTCCAAATTACGAAAAGGAGGTTGGAGAGACAACAGGTTACTAACATCAATAAGATGCGAAAAATGAGCAATTTAGTTAGACACGAATCACCTTGAAAAAGGAGAGGTACGCAAAATAGGTTCTTACGGGGTGCGCAAAAAGTTACGGGGCAAAAGTTCATGGGCCTAGGCGAGAAGTATTGCGCGCGCTTAATTAAAGGGGGTCTTTTAGGGCAAGCCGCGCTTTTCGAAAACGGTTTTTTGCATATTGTAGGGACGCATGTACGGATCACAAAACCATATTTCGTTTTCGCTGACCGGTTTTCACAGTGCCAGAAAAGTTGTGGATGATACCCTTGACAGTCGGGATCACCCGCGCGGCTAATTTTTGCATTTAATTGTTGAAGCCATTGTTGGCCCTTGGAAAATCCGGGTTGTCCTGACCGATGAATGGATGACCTCGTCGACAAACACTTCTACAAATCTAACGCGATTTTGGCACCAGAGCCCAGGAGGGCTAGCCAGTATTGCGAACAGTTTAGTCGCTCACGATTGCTCTGCACACCGCATCTGACCCTCACCGGTGTTCACCGTATGAAGGTGTCCAGTCTGAAGTTGAGTAAGTGCTTCTCTCTCCGGAGGAATGTAGACGATTTGCAAGATTTGATAATCAAGGCTGGTCTATCGATATCAACGTATATACAGAAGAATGGAAAACAACCAAAAAGTACTACTGGAACGAGTCACATCTCAGAAAACGTTCACTTCAGGATTCAAGAGAAGTGCATTTTTGATAGGAATTCAGCTAAATGTTTCAACGAAACCTGATTGTTTGGTATGCGTTCTCAGCGGGGTATTCAATCATCTAAGAGAAATGATTGGATACATCTTGTGTCAAATGTTGATCGGGTTCGGACTCAGTCGGGGAGAATCATTAGTTCTGATGGAGATTTGTGATTAAAAAAGCTTGTTCAATATGTTTGACACAAGCAAAATTCTCTGGAAGGAGCCTCGCATTTTAAACAACACAAGCCTTTACAGGGAGACGTAGTCTGGCTTGCTGAGCTAGTGCAAGGGCTACAACTTGAGGGTTGCTTTCTATTGCTCACGCTTGACCTGTAGAACACAAAAACACATCGGATTATTCGGAATCAGAGCACTAAACCTACCCAAAACTTGCTCAAAGAGGCTCAAGTTTGATCTGCAGAGCACAAATGTACTCTTGTTTGCAGCAGCGGTGCGTGAAACTCGACTGAGGAACGCCACCGTCGAATAAGTGTGGCAATACCTGCACCTGTGGCGCAAGCGCTACGCTGTTTTTCACCAAACGTGTGATATTTGAGCCCTACTGGTGAGGCTACTCCAGGGCGAGCTTGAAGTCAAATAAAGCAAGGGTAGGGTTTAGCCTAACTGAAGGGGTACCTCTTGCGAAAACGGTACTGGGTCCGCCAGTGCAGTGCTCGCGCTTCATTCGCACACCTAACCGCATCACTGACCAATTACTTGCGAGCCGCAGGCTTAACCCTTACGGACCTGAATTTTTCCGTGGAAAAATTTTTTCTAGCTATTGTTTATTACTTGTGAGCATATAAATATCATTATGGCGAAATTTGGAAGCTATTCGATCACAAACAAAGAAACTAGAAGCTTTGAAAATTGGCCCACCTTCTTAGTTTTTAAGCTTATGTCGAAACAATTCCAAATTTCATAGTTATGCCGAAAAAGTTTATAATCTTGCACAACATTATAGGTTGGCAACGCAAGAAATCTCTAGCAGGATCAGAAAAACTTGCACCGAGCGGCATTCTTTCTGAAAAAGTGTACGGTGTCCTTGCAGCAATTAAGTCTACGCTCTCTGTGATAGTGAGTATGAATAATGAATTATGTGGTCAAGATTTCTAGAGATCACGGAAACTTAACCTAAGCGCTTGCTGAGAGCCAGTGCCCGATTCAACGGTGCAATTGCACACAAATACTTGTAATGCTAACAAGGCGGCCGCGCTCCAGCTAACAGCAACACACAATAAATGGCAGGTTAAAAAGCATAATTAGGAAGGGGAAGGTCGTCTGTAGTAAACTCTACAGTGGGTAGTAGAAATATGCTGTTGCAGCGGTAATGCAGACATTTGAATTTGATGGTGGCAATTGCCACCGCCAGATCCGAAAGGGTTAAGACTTGGAGCATTTCCAACCCTTGAAGCATCTCCCACCCAGAGAGACCAGTGTCCACCCATCATCCGATATCCTTCCCAAGCCGTGACGTTGATCTGCTATGCTGCCGCGACTCAGAGCGCAGGGTCAACCGTCAACGGTTGACCAAGTTTGGTTTGGCTTGGTTGAAAGGACGGTCTTGACCCTGCCTCAGAGTTTCTTTCCCTTTCCCGGGCTGACTACTATCTTGCGGAAGCATTGACGTTTGAGATTTTCTGGGTGTTCTTATACAGTGTTCTTTTATACTCCGAGAGAGGGGTTTACCGAACACGATCTCAATCTGATCCTTGTTTTTACGCCCACGCGAATTCCTAGAACATTTGCCTCAATCCTGTAATTGGGGCAATAAAGGGTAGGGAATAGCGGATAAATAGCGCCAAATTCTGGGCTCTCAAGTACCACTCTTTCATGCCGGTAGCGCTAACCATAAAGATCTGGGAGAGCACCATATAACAGCACCATAGACCCTGTGTTTTACCGTATCACACCTGAGGTACAGCTCAGGTCCTGTTTGAGTCTCGATTCAAATTCAGTTGCATAAGCACACTGAGGAGTACGCCGGTTCATTTCTCACCACCTTGCATACCACAAAATCGCAATGGAGTCGGTGATTTACACCACAGTGAACGCTTCTATTATAGAAAATGTGAAGCCGGAAAAAATATTCCAGATAAATTCCATGTTCGGTTTTCCTGGAACCTGGGCATTTCGGATATTGTGTTGTTTCTTCTGTGCCATACAGGTTGTTATGGTGGAACACGTTTATTGGTCAACGTTTCGACAATTCGTCGTCTTCAGGACCTGTGGTGAGTCCACCAGTTTTTAGCAGCCTCCTCTTGTTAGTAAGCAAATAAAATAAATAAATAAATATTGCTCAGTAACAAAGGGCTGTTAAAACCTGGTGGACTCACCACAGGTCCTGAAGACGACGAATTGTCGAAACGTTGACCAATAAACGTGTTCCACCATAACAACCTGTATGGCACAGAAGAACAACACAGTATTCCAAGTAGTACAGGAAAGAAATCGATCCGCTTTTTACAATCCTCATTCGAGTTCTACTATGAAACCCTTGACGACAATGCGGATTTGCACGTAGCTTGCTCATGGGACCACGCCTCTTTTTGACGCGCGCCCAACTCTCGCTCACAATTGGCAAAATTGTCCT